GGGTAATTTTTCCACGAGTAGTTGTAAATTGGCTGTGTCCACGGGAGGAGGTGAGTTCAGAGTCTGCCTACGCCGCCATCTTGACTCCGCCCCCCAGAAAGTAGCTTTCTATTTCTTTGTGTGCTGGTGGCTGTAGGTCAATGGAACGGCCAAACATGGCTGTACTCATGTCAAGACACATGCCCAGAACTTCCTGGGTATCACTTCATTGTGCCAACCCAACAGTGTGATCATACTGAGCGTCTCCAATTCATAGTTGAGGAATCAGACACAGCTTAGCTTGTTCATACTTACTGAGCAACTTAGTTGTAGGGGTGGGTAGGAGATAAACCCAATTCTCCTGACTCCTCAGCTCATGCTCTTTCCTCCACATCGTCTGCCCTGCCTTTTCCTCTACTGCCCAGCCCCACCAGGGCTCATGTGTACCTGTCAGATTGCAGGGGCCAGGGTAAGGAGGAGCTGGGCATTCTCTACCACTACCTCCCAGATTCCTCCACTCCACTCACCTGTCTGAACTTCTTCACTTGGCAACACCACCTGAGAGACCACCAGTCAACAGTCCTTTTCAGTGAATCAGTCTCTTCCTATACTAATATGAGGGTGAGGGGACCATACCTAGATATGATGGTTTTCCTTCCCTTTTGCCTGCTTTTATAAAGTATATACAAAATGAATTTAAAAATCCATTTTTCACCATTACTTTATGGTCTTTACAGTCTTGTTCAGCGAGCTGTTAGCTATGGACATTTGTTTCCTTTTGCACAGCTGGTGATGGGAATATTCATATCTTGGGAGGCTGACCTTTGAAATGTGTGTCCATGAAGCTTAGGTCCCTTCAACCCCGGCCATGGCTGGGGAGATGGGAGGCTGTACATGAGGTGTGTAGGGGAGGAAAAATTCTCCTCCACCCTTATAGGGAGGGTCTCTGACTGGGCCTAGAATTAAACTGACATAAAATAGATTAACAGGAGAAAAGCATGCAAGTTTTACTAAATTTTGCCATGTGAATGGGAACCTTCACAGGAGAATGAGGACCTGAACAAGAGAGCAGAGCAGAAGCTTTTATAGCTTTTAGATAAAGTGAGAATGAATCTGTGAAGTATTGACAGACAAAGCGATTTGGTAGTAAATTGTGGAGCAGTGACTAGTAAGATAAGGGCTAGTTGACAAGATTTGTTTGTACTGATTTCCCAGATATTTCATCTCTAATGATAAGAGTGTCTTCCTTCCACTGGGGTACGGGGGCAGTGGGGGGGGGGCACCTTTCACATGGGAGTTTTATCTCCCACTTTCAGAAAGAAAAAGGAGGGTCAGAATACACGTTTTATCTTGATAATCTCCTGTCTGATGTAAGTGGAGTTGGACCTTTAGAGACTATTTGTGATGTAAGAAAAAATGTAAATGCTTGAATTAAAATATAAATAAAGATTTACAACGAAATGTTATATTTCTCCCCATCTCCAATCCTTCTTACACTGTTTCTTCTGCAGGGGGAACCGCTATTATCATTTCTAGACACAGTCTCTATATCTGTCTATATATCTATCTATCCATCAGTCTATTTGTGTGGATATTCCATAATGTTCTTAAAATATTTTAACTTAATGCTTGGATAAATGTCAAGGTTATTTGGACTGTATATTTGGAATGATACATACTTGGTTCAATTCAAGATATATATTTGGGCTGTTTTCTGATCTTCTCATTGTATAACTCTTTTATATCTGTTTTAGTTCTGTTGCTTTTTTTAATATATGGCGTATAGGTTTACACTAGTTGCAGAATTTGGTAATTAAAATGTGCATTTCCTAACATTACAATGAGTCATTGTGGATGGGCACACATAGTTACAGGAAACACAGGTCTATCCATCAGTAATTTACCTTCAATAACAGGTATAATGTCTTTCCTCTGATACGTCTTTGGTAGAAGATGGTTTGGCAGTGAGAAAGCAACAGTTGTTATCGATTTTGCAATCTTTTGGCTGAGTTGCTGTGCTGTTCTCCCATACCTTGATCCAGTAGATATATTACACAGATTGCTGTATTATGCTTGCATGTGGAATTTCTTCCTCTGTTTTTACTCTGAGTATTTATTTTCCATCAGCCTGTAACGTCATAACACTGATTGGTGCAAGTAATGTGTTATTCATGCCATCTGGTTTCATTCTATTAGTGCTATCAACATTAGCCTTCAGTCTAAAGAGATAGAATTATACCAAGAGCTATCTGCATCAGCTTGTCTTGTTTTGCAGAACATGCCTGGCCCCAGGTCCCAGCTCCTTCTGCAGTCCCTCATGGTGAAACAGACTCTGACATGGAGAGCACATCTCCAAATTTCAAGGAGTCAACTCTGACCCGACTGGAAACTCCTGAGGTTCCCAGAGCCTCAAAGCTAGTCTTTGAAGGTCAATGAAGTAGGCCCAAGTAGCTGGTCAAGACCCCACAAGGGCTTCTAGCAAAATGTATTCAGATTGCTGCACGAATGTGTGCTGTGCTTGGTCGGCTACTCAGCCGTTATCAGGAGTTTCTCTACCTGATTCTGTCTCTGGTCCTCTCTGGGCCTTTGTTTCCTCATATGTAAAATGGAGCCCTTGGATCCAGCAGGGGAAATGAAGTTCATTCTCCAGTGTCAACGCCAATCAATAGAGATGGCTCTGATGCTGTGTTGAGAAGGCTGGGAATCCTTGTCCAGGCTCCAAGAGAAGAGTGCTACAATTGATTAGCAATGTCTGAGGGTATAAGAAAGGGGTCTGGTGGGATGTCTACAGTGTATTTCCAGCCCTCAGAGAAAATCATTAAGATCCCACCCTGTTCCCACTCACAGCAGTTTGGTCACTCATTATATCTATCAACAGATATAATGTGTATTATATATACATATTCTTACTATGTATAAAGCACAGAGGAAAGTTACTCAAGAAATACAAAGATGTAAGAGAGGATCATCACCTTCAAGCAGCTTAGATTCTAACAATGGAGACAAGACAGATGTTTAAAGTACTAGAAACAGAGCAGTTTGTGACAAGTGTCCCGAGAGAAGTACATCCAAAGGACTAAAGGGGCTCAGAGGAGAGAAGACATTACTTCCAACTGGATTACTCAGAAAAGGTGAGTCTTGAAGTACAGGCAGAGTAGAGTAGAACGTTATGAGGAGAGAAACGAATTACTAGCAAAAGTTGACAAGGGTAAAATGTGACAGGGCATGACCAGGGAGAGGCGCATGAGGTGTGTAGGGCACAAAATTTAAGGAGGCGTGCTTGCACAACCCTGAGAGTGAACACCTCCTTCAATTTTGCACCCACTTCATTGAGGCTCCTCATCTCCTCACTTCTCACCCTGAAATACAAGGAATCCAGGAGGAATGGCAAATGGAAGTCTGGATATGTATTAGGGAGGAGTTGGAAGTTGAGCATTAAAAGTAGGCAGGAGACAAAGTTACAGCAGGCAGATCTTGAGGCCCTGAGGAGTGTGGATTTCATTTGCAAGGCCAAGAGTGGGATATGGCTGCAATTTACTTATGAAGATTATTCTGGTAGGAGAGCAGAGACTAGACCAGGATTCAACAAGCAAGCAAACTTCAGAAGGAAGGGAGAGGCAGCTCTCCCTAGAGCTGCTGGGAAGCAATTGCACTGACCCAAGCATGGGGCAATCAGGGCTGGAAATACAGTGTGGCTATGGGGGTGGAGAGGAGGGAACGCTTGCAAGAGACAATTTCAAAATATGGATGGAATTTGGCAACCAGTTTAGTGTAGGGTAAGGAGAGCAAAGAAAGGAGAGGAATAAAAGTTCAATACAATGATCTTTAGGGAGAAAAAAAGATACAGTGAAGAGAATCCAGAAGAGAAGAAAATTTGAGGATTGATGAAGTGAGAAACAATGTCACATGCTACAGAGGACAAAGACTTTGGCTACTGAGGAGAGTCAAGAGATTTGTTAACAGGATCTGGGAGAGAAGTTTCAGGAGAGTTCTGGGGGCAGGAATGACTATAGTCAGTCTTCAAGGGGTTAAGGAATGAGTTATGGGGAATTAAGGGTGGAGAATTCAGATTACTCCTCTGAGAATGTTGTTGGTAAAAAGAAAAGATAGTTGACATGATTCAGGTTTAATATGATTAAGAAAATATTTGCTCTACACAATCCAATCTCTCTGTAGCAAGAGACAAAGAAACTGGTCTAGAAGGAGATGCAGGGGAGATGGAGGCAAAGGGGGAAAAGTGGAAAGTCCAGATGGAGGGGTGACCCAGGGAAAGGAGGGGAGATAGTGGAGGCTGAAGAAGAGAGATTCTGCTCAAGGTGGGTTCCTGCAATGGCTCCTTGTCTAGAATATCTTTCTTCTCTCCTTTCTTCCCATCCTGCCCCTGCACACACTGGTCACTGATGTCCTACTTCCTGGTTCCCTCATTCAAAGAAAAAGGGGGCTGCCTTCTGCTTGGACCCATCCAAACGTTGCACATGTCTCACTGCAGCCTGAAACTTGTGTACCTCTAAGCTGAGGGTGATGAGGGTCACAAGAAGGAGGAGGCCTCCCAACCTCATGTTGCTATTGGAGGTCTTTGGTAAAATGCAGCAGGCCTGGGAACAGTGGAAATTTATGAACAGTGGAAATTTATGCCCTTTCAACACTGAGCTGTAATGCAAGGTCTGGGGTGGGAGGGACTAGGGACTGGAGAGCCTCAGCCCTGCCCTATGACTGACATCTGGAGAACCCACACCGTGTGTACCCTGGGTAAGCCCTGTTGTTACCTAAACAAGTCCCTGAGGCAAGGGAACACCCTCCTCTGACAGACAAATGGCTCCTAAACTGGGAAAGTCTTACATGACTGAGAAAGGGCGTGGGGGTGGGCACTGACTCTTATTATGTACTTTCATTCACTCATTCATTTTTCAACACAAGTAACACATATCTTCTCTGGGTCAGGCACGTGCTAGGCAGGAGGAATACGTCCTTACACAAAACAGTCTAGGGCCTGGGTGCTGGCTGGTGAGGGTGCAGTCTACTTTTTCATTTCCCCCTCCCTGCTCTGGGTCCTAGCACCTCTGGTACTGAGGGCAGGGAGAGGCAGTAGGAGAGCCAGCAGGGGTGCTCCCAGGTCACCTGCCAGTGGTGAGGAGATGTCCTTGGTCTCCTTCTGGCTGGTCTGATTCTCTCTACCGCTGGGCACCTAGGCAGGTGTGGTGGTCTTTGCCTATAGGACACATGTAAGTTTCTGGGGATGGGGCTGCACTTCATCTTGTCCCTTTTCATTTTGGAGAACCCCAACTCCCGATATCCATGTTAAGCTCTTCCAGGATGTCTCTCTTCATGCAGCGCTGGGACGGGGGTGGGGCGGGGCTGCAGTCACCAACCAGCTAGGGAGTGAGATTTCATTTCCCCCTTCTTGAGGGCACTCCTCATCTAGATGAGTGATTTTCTGAATCACACACTCCCCTTGGTTTTTTGAGGAATATGTCCCCTTCCCTCCCCAATGGCAGCAGGAATAGGGGGAGGTATGTACAACTTTTGGCCATGAGCACTCTGTCCCATAAGACGTCTTATTTCATGTGAGATAAGGATGACTGGGCTGTTGGGAATGGCAGGACAGTTTGCAGCCTCTTCATAAGGCCGTGGGGAAACGGTTGAGTTCTCTTTAGAGAGTGGGTAACTTGATGTTTCACCAGGGGTCCTGGTTCCTAGTTCTGGGGCTACAGGAAGAGACTCTTCCTTTTGTGCTTCATTTGTCACCATCCCTGTAATGCCACCAGTTGGAGGTCCTTTGGGCAAACAACTGACCTCATAAATTGCTAATGCCTCCAGGTGGGGTAAGGGGTACAGTTACAGGTTATTCAGGAAGCAATTTTGCAAACTGCCTTTAACTCAATCCTGTCTATCCCAAAGCTGAGATTGGTTGGTGTCTAATTTCTGCAACAGCATCAGAGCCAGAAAGGAACTTTTAGAGATCCTGAATACTCAAAAGATTATAGTGGTATTCTCCATATGTAACACCAAATTTTCTAAAATTCTAAAAATGCTAAATACTTTTTGAAATTTCACAGAACTCAGATGTGTTCAAATTCAGTTTGTTTCTTTTTCAATATCCTCTTTTCCCATCTTAGTTTGGGTGTCCTGTTTTGCTGGATCCCTAAGCAACTACTTACTTTGTCCTTTGGGTTACTCAGGGCTGAGCAGGGCCTTCAGAGCCCCAGCCTGCTCCCTCCTCCTCCCCAGCTCCTCACCCCCGGTCCCCAACCACCCAGGCACTCTGGGCTGCTCTGGCTGCTGACCCTTGTCAAGGACTTCACACTTCCCTATTGCAGTTCAGGCTGTTCCCTAAACTTGGAATTCTTTTTCCCTTTCTTTCTCTGCCATGCGTAACAAGGCTCAGCACAAACGTCACCTCAGAAACTTTCCTCAACCCAACCCTTGGGGGAGTTGACTTTCTTTTTGTAGTTGTCTGGTCATAGCAATTAGTACACTATATGTAATTAATTTATTTTATTTTATTTTCTTAAGGAGCTCTCATTGGTTTATAAGATTCCCACTCCCCTTGAGAGCCTTTGCAAGGTGAGGGGCTCATTATCAGCAATGACTAGTGAATATTCAGCTGCCCCAAACACCAGCTCTGCTGCTCCCTGTGCTCTGCGACTAGAGCGTGAGACCAAGGTTGAGGGGACTGGCAGGGACCGCAGGGTAAGATCTGGGTACAATTAACATGTTAAGCCTGTGTCCTCCCACCTAGGCCTCTCTGTGCTGGACCAGACCTAGAGAATGTAGCAGGCACCAGTCTGAGCTCAGGAGCCCGACCACTGGGTCAGATCCCCGCTCCAAGTTAGTAGCTGTGTGACCCTGGACAAGTCACTGAAGCTCGTGAGGCTCTGTTTCCTCCCCTGTAAGACAAACATAAGAATAGTACCTGCCCCAGTGCTGGGGCCAGAATTTAATAATTATATTCAAACTCAGCACAATGCCTGAGAGAGAGCAAGAATCCAACAAATGTTGCTGTTTTCAGGATTAGTGATAGTGTTATTCTAAAAAGGAATTCTTGCTTATAACTGAAGCATCAGATTTAAGCCTCAGAGTCACAACTGTGTAACCTTGGATACACCATGCGCCCTCTTTGCATAGGACTCAATCATCCTCATCTCTAAGAAGAGTTGTTAGTTTAAAACTGCACTGATATGAGAGCTTTCCCTTCACATGGACATGAGAGAGGATGCTTCTCCTTTAAAGGAAATGAACTCTGTATTATTGAGCATTTCTTCTGTGCCCAGCAGGCATCATGGTGAACATAATGAGTGCAGGAGCAGAGGAGGACCAGGGACGGGTGGGGAGTGCAGCTGGAGGGGCGAGCTTTGGAAAAGAAGAGGAGAGCCTGGGAGCAGATACAGAGGTGGACCTTGACCTGTGCTTCTTCATGTGGAACGTCTTGTGCCCCCTGCCCTCCCCACTCCCTTCCCCTTCTTCCTGTTTGTACACACCGGGCCCCTGACTTCCTTCTATCTGATTCCTCCTCCTGACACTAACAGGCTTTTGCTGCCTGGATTTGCCAATCACCTTGCGAGTTTTGAGGGCACCCCCTGCACCTCTCACTAAGGGAGGGGATGGCTGCAAGAAGGAGGAAGCCCCCCATGTCCTGTTGCTGAGTGGAGTCTCCTTTGATGACAACACAGATGCAAGAGATGGGCTGTGATCATATCTTCCTCCCCCTGAGCTGGGCAGCATGTGGAACCTGGGTCAAGACACAGGCATTTGGAAGCTTGAGCCCTGACAGGCAGCTGACCTTCCTGGATTACATAGGCCTGTGTTTACCATTGAGTAATGATGTATTTCAATCAAGTCTCAGAGCCAAGGGAAATAGCTCCTTTTGTGTAATAATCAAGTCTGCCGAAGAATGGAGGGCACTTGGAATGACAAGAGAACGTGAGGTGAGGAGACAGGGACCTGGTATTTATTGGGCACTTCTGTGTGCCAGATTTTACGAACACACACTCATACATTTATCTTATATATAAAAATATATACTACCTCCACCCTTGTTTTTTTTGTTTATTGCAATACCTCCACCCTTTTTAAAGATCATAAGTCGTCTCAGGGGTTCTCTCCACTTCACACAGGAGGAGACAGTAACTCCCAGAGTTACACAGCTTCTTAATCACCCAAGTCTTTCTGACTCCAAATCCCAAGCTCTCTCTCCACATGACACTGTTTATGCCTTTTCCCTCCACACTCTCATTCTCCCGTTTTCAGATCCAAACATTAATATTACAGGGCTCAGGGCTGGTCTAGGTGAAGGACAGGCATCTTCTCTTTTTCTCCCCCCAATCTCCACAGAATTATCCTGAATTCCTCCTTTGATCCTACTACCTGAAATGCAAACACGTAGAGATTCCCTTGGGTAAATAAACCCCCTGCCATGCTCCAATTCAGGGAAAACTCCATATCTGTGTATCATAACTTTTATTCCTCCTTCTGCCTTGCACAGAATACTCATGGCTTCTTTTATTATAGGTTCTCAGAATGTTGATTGGACTTTTATGTGTAAGTTTTCCTTTTTCCTTTTGTGAAGCTGTTTGGAAGACCATTCATTTTACAACGATGACTCTGTGGAATGTTCAGCCGCTAATGACAGGTCTATTCAACTTCACCATAATCAGGAAGGTCAGCCTCTATATGAGCAGTAGACTGACTGAACAAACTCATTTCTTCTTCCTGAGAACTCAGCAGAATACATGTCCCAGCTCTCATTCTAGGTAGCTATGCCATGTGACTGAGTTCTAGGCAATGGAATGTGAGCGGAAGTGACGTGCACCACTTCGGGGACAAGGCTCCTAACTCCCCTCCCTGACCCCTGCACACTCCTCCATTCTCTTCTTTCTATTGCTGGGCTGAAGCGCATACACAAGCAAATGGTCCTGAAAGCCAAGTGTTGAAGTGGGTGAATACCACAAGATAGAGAGAGCCTGGTCCCCAAATTTCCACTCGCAGGAAAACTGCCAGCTGTTCAAGAAGACCCATTTTGGATTTCCTACCAGGGAGGAATAAACTTCAATTTGAAGTAAGCCAGTAAAGTGAGGGGTTTATTTGTTGCACCAATTCATACAACGTGAACTTAATTATCCCACCATTTTCGACAAATCCATTTGATCTCTGGCTCCTAGGGAATCCCACTCACTCCCCACTGAACTCCTATAGAGAGTGGGTACTTTTTGGGAATACTAACTTCTTGAAGTCATTTTTTATTTTTCCTGAATGATGGTGCTAGTACAGCCATTATGGAATACTACATTCTTATTGATTTAAGGAGTGCCAGCCCATGCTGTCATTCAGATGTAGCTTTGTTCTTTCCTTACAGGCTGGTGAGGCTCAAGGACTTAGGGGTTACACCATTGTGCATTCAATTGGCACAGGAGAGGGAATATTTGAGAGCCCTGGTATTTCAGCATGAGGCTGAGAAAATGAAGCTTAATGAAGAGGAGGAAAAGTGGGAGGGTAGACAAATGACTTGGAGTTGGACCAGCCTGAAATAAGTACAGATTTCTGATCCACCAGTGACTTGTTCATTGCACTGATCCAAATACAGCAGTCAGAAAGCTGCTGCCTCCCCAGGCAGCAGTACATAGTCTTCAGACTCCAGGGACA